CCTACGAAGGTGCTCGCGTCCTATTTCCTAGCTACATATCAAGTGATTCATACTATAAGAACTTTTCTCCTTGTTGGGTGGTCATTACTGTAACCCAAGCTGTTGCTTGCGATGTCCAATGAAATTAGGTTGGTCCCCTTTAACGACAGCTTCAGCGTAGTTTGAACAGAACACGGCTGCCCAAGATGTAGCATTACTACAAACACTTCGCATGGATTAGTTCATCGACCAACGATATAATCACTTAGAAATGTGTCAACTCAAGCCAGAAGTGCGTGTATTTCAACTATTTTAATTCCGGTTGTCCTGCATGTTCCTGTTGAATTCCTTCTTCTTGGGGGGCAAACGGATCTTCCGGTCCTTCTTAGCGCGACCTCTGAGGATCTTGCCGTGGATAGCACAGCTGACACAGTACTGCAGCTTGACAAACAATTTCGGAAGATTGTAGCCTAAAAACAAAAAAGTTATCTTAAGTCATTTATATGTTCTAGGATATTAAAAACCAAAGCTTTTTATTGGAAAAGCATTGTAGACTGGGTCATTATGACTATATTTCCCAATAGAAGCACGAGTCAGTTCTGGGAAATTTCACAGTCGATTACGCTACGAGATGCTTTGCGTATTATGGACTACAGTCTTCAAAGTCGTAGACATCTCGTTTCCTGTGAAGACGACTCGATCGCTAGGACAATACAGGTATCTGCTAATGCTCTTTGATTATGTCTCTGATGACGAATCTGCGACCGATCTCGGAACACCAGGCGATCGAGACGTCTTCTTCTTAATTAATTCCTGGGACTCGCATATTTGCTTTTATTGGCAACCTCGTTTCCTCTTAGCCTTTTGTCCAGATGCTTAATGGAATCCGTTATCAAATATGCCTAATACCACAGCCCTTCTATTGTTGAATAAGCAGGTTTTTCGGTCACCAAACACGAAAGAAAATAAAATAGTGTGGTAACCTGTGTCGTCACAGGGTACTAATTAGAGTACCTGTGAACCTTAATTTTGGAGATTGGGTGAATTCCAGCCTCAAAAGACCGGAACTGTAATTTATCTCCGAAAGAATAAGTATAAAAGGCATGTTTTGTCGTTACTTTGTCGTTTGGAACGCAAAGTACCATCGTTTTTGGAGACGGGGTGAGTCTAGACCAAGCATGGTCGAGACTGTAATAAGTCTCCATATTTTACTTGTACGACATGTTGAGTGGAGAATACAGCATGAAACGCCCCTGCAGTCTAGATGTTAGCTCTACCGGCAGTCTGACCAGACGTGCGGAAAGATATGTGCTATCCTCAAATACGTTAAGCCCTATGAGAACCACCCAATATACAACCGCTGATTTTGTCCTTTGCACCTGTTATGCCGTGGACAAGACTATAGTAAGAAGGCTTTGTACGGAAAGTCGACTCCGCATTGGTATGTTAAGGTTACGTATACTAGACGCCCACGTGAGCAAGCAATCTGTCGAAAGACATTTGACTCTAAATAGAAACTGTGCCCAAACAGTCAGGAGAGCTCATTACCACTAATCGAGGATGCATCTTGATTCTGACTAGTTGGGAGACATAAGCCTTTTAATAGGTGTAAGGCCCGTATCTGTACAGTCTTAAACTTTACCAGACTGCTCAAAGCAAGGCTCTTAATATAGGAGACAATGTGCGCTGCCATTCTGAGCATGACAACGGTATTATGACTCCCCCAAGCTAGAC